TTCTGTTATTTTTTGTGTGTGTACCATCAAATCAGATCTGACTGGTACAGGAGGAGATTGCCCCTCCTTCTCCAGCAGAGCATCTGGTGGATTTGAACTGCATACCTCTAGGATTGCAGCACAGCTTCTTGCCCCTAGGCCACCAGAGCTCCCTTTAAATCAGCATTTAGTTATTTTTTAATTAATGCTTCTTCTAAAAGTAACCACTTGTAAAAAAATCAAGCATTACAAAAGAATAAAAAGCCAAAAGTGGTACCTCGACTCATTCTGTGCCTTTCCCTCACCCATAATGCCATTCACCTTCCCAGACATCTTTCCCTACATGTTCTACACATTCATGTAACGTACACAAACTTACTCGGTTTTACTGCATTATTCAGACACTACATATCTGATTATTGAATGTTGTGGAAACCCCTCACAGGCCTCTGTTGACACCATACTCCCAACAGCATGAGTTCACTTTTGTATTTTGTGTCACACTTTGGTAGGTTTGCACCATTTTAAACTTGTTTTATAATGGTATTCACACTTGACAAAGTACAGTGTACACGTAACTTTTATGTGTGTTGATTGAGAAACCAAAAGATTTGTCTGACTCACTTTATTTGGATAGTACTTTTATTGCAAAGTTCTGGAAGCAAAGCCACAATGGCTCCATCACAGGCCTGTAAAAGATGCTTGGATTACTTATTTTACTTATCAAAAGTGTATTTAAATTTAAGTTAAAAAATAATCATGAGGACATACTTAATTCTGAAATTTGTGTTATTTGTTTATATTTTTTAGAATTCAAAATGCAAGCATGCAATTAAAAAGTCAACAAGATGAATTTAAGAAAGTACAAGAAGAATTGAGTAATTTACAACAGGAATTAAAAATGAAACATAAAGAGTCACAAATCTTCAGGTAAAATTATCTTTAAAGTTTTGAGATATATAGAAATAGTCTTAACTTTTTTTTCCCTTTAACCATAACCACTAAGCCATCACCAGAGTTCCCTCTCAAGTGATTAATCAACCCCTAACACCAAGCCCACTGCAGCTGAATCTGTTGGCTCCTCACCGCCTTGTAGGACCGAGAGCTGCATACAGGGCATCCATGATGGGAAACCTTGACAGACACAAGGGCCACAGCTTTCTCTCGTGGAGAAGCTGGTGGGGTCAAACCATCGGTTTTCTTCTTAGCTAGCACTTTAACGACTGTACTACTAGGGTTCCTTGTTCTTCTGGAAGTCCATAGTATATTCCATATTCTTTATCAATACCACAGATCAATATTCATTCTCTTTCTGTCTTCTTTATTCACCATCCAGCTTTCATAGGCATATATGAGGTGACTGAAAAAAATATCATGGCTTCGCTCACTACCTAGAATTCTCTTTCATTGACGTGAAGACAACGACCATGCCCTTATCAACAATTTGTATACCTGAAGGGACAATTCTAGATGAAGGATGAAGTACCAGCTTTTGTTTACTGGCGTTTGGACTGCTGAATTAATTGCCTTTCAAACTGTTGTTGTTATGTGCCGTCGAGTCGTTTGTGACTCATAGCGACCCTATGTACAACAGCCCTAAACCCTGCTCTATCCTGTGCCAATCGCATTGCTTCTGACACACCCATCCCGATTACCCCAGTCACTGAATCAGTCCACCTCATAGAGGGTCTTCCCCTCCTGCGCTGTCCCTCCACTCTACCCAGCATTATGTCCCTCTCTAAAGACCTGTCTCTCCTTACAACATGTCCAAAGTATGTCAGACGAAGCCCCAGAATCCTTGCCTCCAAGGAGCAGCCTGGTTTAATCCTCTCTATGATGAATCTGTTTGTTTTCTTGGCAGTCCATGGTACATTCAATACTCTTCTCCAGCACCACAGCTCAAAGGCGTCAATTCTACTTCTATCCTCCCTAGTCATTGTCCAACTCTCTGATGCATAACAAGTGATTGCAAAAACCATGGCCTGTATCAGGCGCACCTTAGTCTCCAGAGAGACAGTGTTGGTCTTGAGTATTTTGGAGAGGTCCCTAACTGCAGACTTTCCCATCGCAATACTTTTTTTGATTTCCTGGCTACTGGTGCCAAGAGTGTTGACCGTGGAGCCAAGCAAACTGAAGCTGTGAACAATCTCAATCTCTTCGCCATCCATCCTGATGCTGCCGATTGGTCCAGTGGTGAGAATTTTTGTCTTCTTGACATTGAGCCTCAGTCCATATTGAAGGCTGCAGTCCTTGACCCTCTGCAGCAAGTGCATGAGGTCCTCCTCAGTTTCAGCGAGCAAAGGTTGTGTCATCTGCATAACGCAGATTGTTGATAGATTGTCCACCAATCCTAACGCCACGCTTCTCCTCATAGAGCCCCGCCTCTCGGATAATGTGCTCTGCATACAGGTTGAAAAGGTATGGAGATAGGACACATCCCTGGCGTACACCCTTCCCAATTTTGAACCATGCAGTGTTGCCCTGCTCTGTTCTGACCACTGCCTCTTGGTCCAAGGATAGGTTTCGCATTAGCACGATTAAATGTTCTGGGATTTCCACTCTTTTCAGAGTCAGCCACAGTTTGTTATGATCCATGCAGTCAAATGCCTTTGCATAATCAATGAAACACAGGTAGACATTCTTCTGGTATTCTCTCCTTTCAGCGAAGATCCATCTAACATCAGCTACAATATCCCTAGTACCACGACCCCTTCTAAACCCAGCCTGGACTTCTGGCAGTTCTCTGCTGATGTACTGTTCCAGCCGTTTTTGGATAATCTTCAGTAGAATCTTGCTTGCATGTGAAATCAATGACACTGTTCTGTAGTTTCCACACTCAGTTGGGTCACCCTTCTTTGGGATGGGAATAAATATTGACCTCTTCCAGTCAGTTGGCCAAGTGGTTGTTCTCCAGATTTCTTGGCACAACTTGGTGAGCACATCCACGGCAGCATCTGTTAGCTGAAATATGTCAATTGGTATACCATCGATTCCGGGGGCCTTATTTTTTGCTATTTCCTTCAAAGCAGCTTGAACTTCTGCCTTCATCACCATAGGCTCTGGCTCAAATGCTATTTCATTAAATTCTTCTGTATCTGCCAATTCCTTTCGGTACAATGACTCAGTATATTCCTTCCATCTTCTTTTGATACCTGCTGGATCATTTAACATTCTGCCTAAAGCATCCTTGATTGTAGCAACTCGAGATTTGAATTTGTTCTTCAGTTCCTTGAGCTTAAGAAATGCTGAACGAGTTCGGCCCTTTTGATTTTCCAACTCTAGCTTCTTGCACATTTCATTGTAGTATTTTGCTTTGTCATTCTGGGCTGCCTTTTGGAATCTTCTGTTCAGGTCTTTAGTGTCTTGGATTCTTCCTTGTGCTTTGGCTTCTCTACGTTCCAGTGCAATCTTCAGAGTTTCTTCTGACATCCATTTTGGTCTTTTCTTCCTCTTCTGTCTTTGTAATGACCGTTTGCACTCTTCCTGGATAATACCTTTGACATCCTCCTGCAACTCCTCTGGTCTTCGCTCATTAGTGTTCAAGGCCTCAAACCTGTTCCTGAGATGATTCTGAAATTCAGGTGGTATGAATTATAACTTTTTTAAAAGTCTAGTTTGAAAGTAACCTTTCAAACTAGACTTTTAAAAAAGTTATAATTTGTGAGCACACGAGTGTGTGTGTGTGTGTGTGTGTGTGTGTGTGTGTGTGTGTGTGTGTAAAGGAAGGTAGATAGGGGATTGTATGCTCAACTCAAAGGTGGTAGGGTCGGCGTGAACCTGTGGGAGAAAGGTGAGCAGTCTCCTCTCAGGAATACTAAAGCCTCTGAAAACCCTCTGGAATGTGAACTCCAGCTTACCTGCAATGAGTGAGTATGACTGTAGCTGGAATACTGAGGTTAAACACTTGACCAAAACTAGGGCTGAGTGACCAATCTGCAATGTAAACCTCTCTGCCTCCAGAACTGATCTTTTTCGTCTCACTCTGTTACTTTCTCTGTGCTTCAGTCTCCTTACCTGGAAAATGGAGACAACATTGTCTGTTCTGTAGGGAGCTCTCGTAGCTGAATGGTAAGGAGTAGTGTTGCCAGCACACGGTTCGAATCCAGCAGTTGCTGCAGGGGAAAAAGATGGGCATTCTCCTCTGATGCAATTTGCTGCCTCTGCAAACCAGCTGGAGGGTCAGCAATGGGTTAGTTCTGAGTCGACAGTACACAACTACAACAACTGTCACACACTCTGTGCCTTAATATTCTCACCTGGGAAAAGGAGAAAACATTGCCTGTCCTATACCTAATAAGGTTGTCTTAAGAAATAAAATGGAAAAAAAAATTTGAACTGAATTGAACAAGAGCAAAGCATTTAAAGTTAGTACTGTTAAAAGCTCGGTCAATCTATCAGGTAACTAGCAATATGGTAGTGAAAATAGGTTTTACCTAGGATTTTGTTCTTTCTGGCCAAACTTAGAGGAGTATGGCTTAAATTTTAACAAAAAAAAAGCAGATATTCATATAAGAACCAAAATATGATTATAGCCAGAGTACAAGATGGAATGCGAGATAACAGTAGTGACAACGTATCATTAAGCCCTTTGGTAGAGATTATTTGTACCAAACACTTAAAATAGTCTCAAAGCCTTGGATTTTCTACACTTTAATTAAATTGCATATCTAATAATAGACTGGAGTTTTGATGAGTGAAAAGATAAAGAAAAGGGTAATTTGAATCACAGCACATTTTGGAGGAGCGATGGGCCAAATAAGCTCTGAATATGTTATAAACTAACACATTTATAACAGGAAAGTAAAGCAAAACAAAAGCCTCTTAACAAATTAGGAATAGAAGGAAATTTCAAAAACATTAGAACATTAGAAGAAACATCTATGAAGTATCTATAGTTAGCTTGATACTTACTGGTGGAAGATAAAGTGTTTTCCTTCTATAACAGGGAACAAGGCAAGAATAATCTCTTTCACCATTACCTAACATTTTACTGGTGATTTTGACAAATGTAACCAGGCAAGAAAAAGGAATTCAGCACATACATATCGGAAAAGAAAGAAAAGGAACCTAGATTTCTGCATGATTCTTCATACAATAAAAAGATATAAGACTATCTAGAATTCAATATGCTGGGAAAAATGTACTATCAATCAGGAATCCGAACATGAAACATTTTCATTCCAAACAATGTAAGAAAGTGTGACGTTTTTAGGAATAGAATTAACAAATGAATTACAAATCCTGTCCACACAAACTGACTCACGGCTGCGATCCTGAAGGCACACAGTTCAAATGCACCAGCTGCCCCTGCAGGGTCAGAGTGAGCAGTGTCCTTCTGAGGGTCGGCAGGGGGTCAGTCCCTGCCCAGTGGAACACACCGCCACCTCTATGATCAGGGACTGAGATGCTCAACAGTGTTCAGATGGAGGTTTTTCCCAACTGAGCTGTTGAAATTCCAACAGGCATTTCTGGTAGAAAGTGACAAGCTGTTCTTAAAAATAATATAGAAATGCAAGGAACCTGAAATAGCCAAAACACTTAGTAAGAAGAAACAGCTGGAGGAGTTTTACTCCCTGATTTACTATAAAACTACGATTATCCACAAAGTGTGGTATTGACAGAAAGGGTAGGCATATGGAGCAATGGAACTGAATACAAATCTAGAAATTGGTTCTAAAGCAGTTCAATAAAGAAGGAACAGCATTTTCAGCAAATTGTGCTGGACAATTAGAAATCCAAATGAAAACAAACAAATTTAGGATCTTACCTTGCATTGTAACTAGGTCACCCAAACTAATGTAAAATGTAAAATAGATGCACGTGTAAGAGCAAGAGCCACAGAATTCCTATCAGAAAATATAAGATAAAATCCTTGTGATTTTTTATTAGGGAAGGTGTCAGGAAATATTTTTATGTAAATGACCACATAG